GCTCAAGGAAGGAAGAGAATTTTCTTGGATTCATGGAAGATAGATTTGTTAGTTTCGCCTTGTGAAATTTTACCAAACAAGCAGAATTTTGAAGAAAACCTGTAAGTTAACTTGTGTTTAGGTGACTCAGTACAGAGAAAGTTATCTGGACATTATATCATTCCTAAACAAATTTAATTTCATCCTGAAGCCATGGTAGCATTTCTGGGCGTAACAATTTTTGAAGATTCTGAATAAAGATTAAAAAAAACGTTAGTTTCCTATCTGACTCAATGCATGAAGAATAGAACAAATTATTTGCAGATTTCTTGGGCACTTAAGAAACAGAATTGCAGAACAGTACACCTGAAGAAATTATATGCTTTTTTCTTATTACATCAAAACATACAGTAGTCTCTCTATTTGAAAATGTTACTTTTGCTTGTGTTGGGTCTTTAAAGAGTCAATTCAATCTAGCAGTGCTTTTCCCCCCCTCCATTAATTTTTTGAATACTGTCCTAAATATGGAGATATGAGTGGACTATGGAAGTGAGCTGCCCAGAGTTATGGCACATAAGATGGGCGGCTACATAAGTCTCATAAATAAATAGTGATCCATCCAACAAACCAGTTGAACTGACTTACAACATTCAGTACTAAACCTGTAGAAATTATCCCAGTGATCAAGCTTTACTGGAATAAAGGCAGAGGCAGCCAGAGGACAAAACTAAATCAAGAAAAAGAATTTAACTATTATTTTAATGGTTTAAGAGGGACATGCTGAACCCCATTTCCCAGATTTTTGAACAAAAGTGCATCTGTCTTGTCTAGATTTAATTTCATTTATCCAGAAATAAACTTTTCTCTTCTTCATATGTTTTATGTAAAAGAAAAGTGAGTTTACATTTGAATTTTGAAAAATGTATGCTGTCATACCTGTCATGGAAACTTGAAATAAGTACACTTAAATATATATTCAGTAAAACAGTTTTTGATAAGCCCATTTGATATTATCCATGATTAACAAATGTATAAGGGTTAAGCTATGCCAGTTTCAATTAAATGTGTAGGACAGATAACAGACATATGGAGACAAAGCAAGATTTGCTTGATTCCCCTCCCCCAAAAAAGGTTTTCTGTTCTTTATTTGTACACTGGTTGTTTTGATTCTTGCCATATACTGTATATAATCCATAGTGTATTTTATATTTCTTAGAAATAAAAATTGTGAACTAACATGACAGAGTGGCCTTTGTTTAAAACTTTGAAACTAGGTCTAAAATTCAGAAACTAAAACAGAGTACCCTTTCCTTTGGTGCTGAATTTAATTGTTAAAGTTCCAGATTTCACACTCATTCTACTCAGTTTTTAAGTCTTTCACTTTTGATGGACCACTCTGACCTATATTTCTTTTCAGGATTTTTAAATCATTTTTAAAGTTGATGCCAGAGGTCTCAAACTCATGGCCCATGGGCTGCATGCATCCCTCCAAGTTATTTTCTGAAGACTGCAAAAATGCAATGGCTCAAACTAAAATACTTGAAAGATATGCCTTGCCATTTCAGCTTGCTCAAATATTAAGTCTCTCCTGGTACCCTTTATCATAGTAATCATGGTCTCTGTGTTTCATACACATGGGTTGAATATGTGTAAAATCCTACTCAGAAACAAGTAGCATTTACAGAACTGTTGTAGGCTTTCATGGCCAGTATCTGTTGGGCAGGGTTTAGTGACCATGGTCTAGACAACAAATTTCCTTACATGTGGCTGGCATCTTTAGAAGAAAGGTCTCATATGCAGCAGACCACCTTGCCTCTGAAGATGCCAGCTACAGTTGCTGGCAAAATGTCAGGAAATCTGTTGTCTAGACCACGTTCACTAAACCCTGAAGCCCAATACTGCCCAACTTACAGAACTGTTTGGCAAAGCCCTGCCCCCTACTTATACCACATGACTAGACACAGCTCCCACCAAACTAGGTACAGCTTTAGCACATTTGTCCATAAGCTGATCATCATTCTGCTTTGCTGAAAATGTTTATTATTTGTTCTTTTCTTTTTCTCCTTTATTTTCATCTTCTCCCTAGAACTTCATAGAATTATTTATAAAGGCACTTTGTCCTTCGGTTGCAGGCATATGCCCTTCAATCTTATAGCTCATTGGACCTATTTAGCAACTGCCAGAATTACAGATGCAGACATTCCACCTCTGATGGGTATTGTCTGTGCCCTTTTTCCTTGGAGGAGGTCACACAGTAGACATTTGTATTTCCTACACAGGCTTGTCACAATAATTTTTCTCATTGGCTAGCCATTCTCTGGGAGAAGCTCAAAAGGTGCTAGACTCTAAAGCAATGGTAGCCCTTCATCCTCTTTCAAAACTTCTATGATGTTCCCAAAATTTTCTGGCAAAACTCTTCAAGAGATTGATCAAACATTGTACTACTTGGAGAAGATAAAAACAGATTATCCTCTTATCTATTAATATAATTGAAATGGAGATCTTTTACTTCAGTCATCTCAAAATCAAAGTTCATCATCTCATGCCCACACTAGTTCCAAAGATCATATCTCCCTAGGGTTAGAAATTACCAGCCATCCTGCTTTTCTAGGGTGAATCATTAGGCTTCTTCACATCAGGCTTTTCATGATCCAGTGGACCTATATTCCCCAGACTGTGAAAAATATAGTGAGGCAGACCATTATGTATGTTGAACTTCTGCTGCATATTTTTCTCAAATTGTGCCACCTAATCATGCCTTAGCGCTGCCCATGTAACAGACAGCTTTTGCAAGCATATTTCTCTCCTCCTTAGGACTCTTCTGTCCTCCCAGATGTTTCTTCAAGGCTGACCTCACATCCAGTTTCTACCTGTCATGGCATCTTGCTCATCTTCCCCTCACTTGCTCATCTTCTCTTCTCTGCTAACACAGCTGGTGTTACCATTTGGCCTTTTCCTCAGCCTAAAAAAATACACCACCCCCACCACCCCCGCTTACTGGGTAATATGATTGCTATGACTTCAGTTGTTTGTTTCATCTGTCTTCAGAAGTGCCCATTACAGATGTGGTAGCTTTGTTCCACATATCCAAGATAATAAAAACAGTTTTTCCTCTCTGTTCCACCTGGAATCACTGATAGTTGTTTTCAGATAATCCTGTCTAAGGTATTCAGTTCATGCCTCCTTCCATGACACTTGTCCTCACTACTAAAGCAGACATATCCAGATGGAAGCTCAGTTAAGCTCTCTGCATCTGTTATGCCTGTTCAAGCATAAAGCACCAAGACACATGAATAAACTCAATTTTTTTGCAGTTTGAAAGCATTTCAAGCCTATCAAGATTCTCTCCATGGTTGGATTGTCAAAGCAATATTGGAGGATGCAAACGTAATCTGCTATATAAACAAAAAGACAGCACAAAGGTCATCCTTCTTTCTCACTTTACATTATAAATATGGCATTGTTGCATCTGTCATTACATCTTCATCTTGGAAATCCTTATGCCACAGAAGCAGCGGCATTACAGATGTGGTAGCTTTGTTCCACATATCCAAGTGGAACAACTCAGCCACACCAGGATGACTACCAATAAATGGAAGCTGCATCTATCAGCAGTGATCCTCATCAGATCCCAAGGTCTATCTTTTAATGTTGTGACAGCAGGTAATACCTAATATTTTGTAGCAGGAGTGGGACAAACTACCAATCTCCTGGTGATATTTTCCGTTTTTCTTTTAGTAGACCATTTTTTACCATGTTTCTACCCACTCTCCTCCTGACTAGTCATGATAAAAACCAGCAAAGTCAATCACACCTTAGTGGCCTCAGTAGCTATGGTTTACCCTGTTGCTCAATTTCACCTGTCAAAACAATCTAACACCCTTTCCATCCATTAGGGACAAGCCTTCTGTTCAGATTGTATAGCTCTCATTACATCTAGGAGAATTTCACAACCCTTCCCGTTTATGTAGGCTTCTCATGAACCTTGCACAATGACTTCCTATGCGGCCACACAGAAATCCTGGATCCTTTCTCTAGAAACAACAAAATGTAATATTTGGAAGGGGTGACCTTTCTTCAGTCATCTTATGACGAGCAGGGCATCCTTCAGGTAAAAAGCTCACTACTCACTTGTGTGTGAGTCACAGAGACAATGATGAAGAACTGGTTATTTACCTGTAACTGCAGTTTTTCAAGTGATATTCACACAACCCATCCTTTTATTCTTCTTAGTCTCAGGTGACCTCTTTCTACAGACGTTCTTCTGCAGTCTTAGGAATTGAAGGGATTTAGCAGGAGACCCATCTAGCTGCATGGTACATGTGGAATGCAGGGCTTCCTCAAACAATTCTGTATGCATTAGAAAATTCTAATTAGGGCTTTGCACAAATGCAAAACTTCTGTATGTGAGCTCACCATTTGCTTTTCAAAGAATTGCAGTTGCAGGTAAATAATATTTTGTTTTTGTTTTCTTTTTTTGGCTTAGAAATACCACTTCATTATGGAAGACTCTATACTGAAGCTCATCAGATGTTAGCATTCAGATTTTTTTATTTTGTATTCCCCCCAGGCTTATTAACTTACTGAGGTTAGAATTATTAAACATTTGTTATCTAGCTTTTTATGACTTAAAGTGCTCTTTATTGTCTTTAGAATTTAAAACAACTTACAATTAGTTTTAAAATTCTAAAGACAATAAAGAGCACTTTATAATACGTAAAATAAAATACAGTCAAATATAATAAAAGGCACTATGAAGAATATTTTAAATAAATATAATTATTTGTTCATTCAGGTAGGATTGTATTTAATTGTGTAATGTATGTACAGATATAACACATACCCTACTTCTATCCATCCCCCCATATAAAAATTACATTATTACATATTTAGCTGTGTTTGTCATGATTGACTGAAATGGTAAAATGTTGATTCTATAAGCAAGACTATTTTAAGCTTGTATGCAGTTCTCAAACATATTTGCAAATTTATACACAATCATTTTTGTTTTATGTTTACAGTGACCAACAAAAAACCTGCACAAGCATATATTACAAAAGTTAAACAGTTTGAAGGTTCTGCATCTTTTGTACGAAGGACACAATGGATGCTTGAACAGCTTCGCCAGGTTAATGGTATAGACCCTCATCGGGTAAGTAGATGATAGTAGAGGTGTTTCTCATTTAACGATATCCTTTTACTTGTCTGTAGTTCTTATGATTAACTTGACTCAGATTGCCTTCATCCTTTCTTTTCCTAGGAACAATTCAGTCATTTGTACATGTGTGTGTATGTGTGTGTGTGTGTTGATTTTACTTAAAAAAAAAAAAAAAAGTAGGCACTGTAATGGATATTTTGAGTTGTTAACCATAACTCTTCAGGATCCTGAGCAGTCATTCCAGATGTTCTTGGTTTCCTTTCTAAATCATTGTAGATTTTACCACAGTATTATATTCAGTAAGCAATTAGTCTAATGGACCATTTAGATATCTTGAACCTCAATATCCACTAAAACCGTACATGACATGATTTATTTTGTTTGTGTCAACTTACAGCATTTGCATAATGACATAATTATGCATTTAACACAAATTATGTCATTTGTGAATTACATCATTAAGGAAATGATGCACATTGATGCAAGTCATCAACTGAGACACAATGGACTTTGTCCATTATTTGGGGTATTTGAAGTCTACTAAACTGAAGTCCATTAAACTGAGGGTTTAGTATTTCTCACAGAAACTGAAGGGTTTTCTATATTAAAACAGTGGGGGAGGGGGTTCCCCTCCATCTGAGATTATGACTTTTTCTTCTATGTAAAACATTCATATTCTTTGTTCCTGTTAGCTCCTTGTTTATGCATTTCAGTATTGCATGTGTGGGCATGCATATTTGTATTCTTTGCTTTTTATTTTTTAACCAGTTAGCAATCCATAAAAGGACATATCTTCTGATCCCATGACTGCTCAATTGACTCAAGACCCTTGACAAAGAACTTTGTCAAAGGTTTTTGAGAATCCAAGAATATCTACTCCATTTGTATGCCAAATGACATTCTAGAATATTAGCAAGACAGGGTTTACCTTTGCACAATCCATGCTAATTTTCCTTTAGTAGTTCTTGATCCTCTGAATGTGTAGTTATTTTTAATTTGATTACCATTTCTACCTGTTTGCCCAGAATATATATTAAAATGACTGGCCTATAACTTGATCGATTTTAACAGGTCCCTTTTAAAAATTGGTGCCACACTGGCTATCTCCTAATCTTCTGATAACTGGTTTTAGGTACAAGTTAACTGCTAGGAGATCAGCAGTTTCACATTTAAGTTCTTTAAGAACACCCAGTTAAATGCTATTAAAACCTGGTGATTTGTTACTGTCTTTCAAGACATCCTAGAATATTTTCTCTTGTTCCTTCAGTTTGCTTTAGTTGTTCCAGTTACCTCCCTGAGGAAGTCAATATAAGCTCAGGTAACTGTCCTGTATATCTACGAAAAAGACAGATGTAAAGAATTAATTTAGCTTCTCTGCAATTGTCATAGCCTCTTTGAGTATCCCTTTTGTTGTTTTTGCTGCTGTTGTCTAAAAACTTCCCTGGCTGCTTTTCTGCCTGACTATATTTAAAGAAGTTCTTAACTGTTTTCTGTAAAGTTGTTTGCTATACATGCCTCAGTTTCTTAAGTTGTGCCTCTTTATACTATCTGTATATATCTCTGTATATCTATGCATACCTACACACACATATATATGTATGTACATACATACATACACACACATGCATACTTTATACACCACCCAGAATCGCTTTTTGTGAGATGGGCAGCCATATAAATATGATTAATAAATAAATAAAATACTGTGTCAGAACTAGTATGTCCTTGATGTAAAGAGCAGCACCTTCCCCACTGCGCTCTTCTCTATCCTTTCTATAATGCCTGTATCCAGGAATTAGTATATCACACTGATTCTCTCCATTATAACAGGATTCTGTTATGCCCACTGTCTCTGTGTTCTCCTCAGATTCCCCTATATCCACTTATTAACCCCCTTCCAACCTTCTCTTATCCCTTGTAGCATTATCTAAAATGTTTATACCCTTCTAAACCAGATGCTAGCCATCTATCAGCTTTCCCCTAGTTTAGAAGTTGCGCTGTCACATTTTTGACTAGCAGGTTGGTTCCATTTGGGTTCAACAAAGCCCATCTCTATCATATAGGTTTGGCTTGTCTTCAAATATTCATAGTATTTAGCAAACCTAAGTCCTTCTGTCTTGTACCAATGTGTCACCCACTTATTGAGGCTTCTCAACTTTGCTTATCTAGCTGGCCTTGTCCATGGAACAGAGAACATTTTTCAGAATGTTACGTTTACAGTCCCAAAATTCAGTCTGCTATCTAACAATCTAAATCTGGCTTCCAAGACTGGCCAACTATATTGTACAATGGCATTGATGCCAGTATTGTCATCTATTCACTATTGTCACTATTGCCATCTTTCCCCACTATCCAGAAGTTTATATATACAGTGTATGACAGCCTTTTCACAAGCCAGGCAACCACAGGATCATCTTCATGTCTCTCACAAACCTATATCTCTATGTTTATAATGAATAATGAATCATCCTTCTCTGCCTCCAGAGGAATATTCTGGAAGCAGAATGAGCAAACATGAGTTCATCACCTAAATATCTGGTTCTTCTTATGGGAAGAGCCAGTTTGGTGTAGTCATTAAGGTACCAGGCCAGAAACCAGGAGACTATGAGTTCTAGTCCCACCTAAGGCACAAAGCCAGCTGGATGTCCTTGGGCCACTCACTCTCTCAGCCCTAGGAAGGAGGCAGTGGCAGACTACTTCCAAAAATCTTGCCAAGAAAACTGCAGGAACTAGTCCAGGCAGTCGCCAAGAATCAACACTGACTTGAAGGCATCCCACCCCCCCACCCCGCTTTTAGGGAATATCCTTTATCCTTGAAATCATGGCCTCCTTTCCCAAGGAGTTTCTCTGTAACAACAAGGGAGCTATCTGTTAGCCCTTTGAAGCAGACCAAGTCAGGAAACAGACTCCAGAATTTTGATTATTGATGTAGGCTATTGTAAGAGAATCTTGAAACCCAGACTGCGTTTTCTCTTTCTTCCCTTCCCATTGAATTAGGATGGATCCAGTCTGAGTTTTTTTCTCATCCTTTCTCTGTTTCCTGGGTTTAACACATATGATTGTTCTGTTCTACATACTTTCTCCACGGTCATATGTATGGCTCTCTACACCAACATTCTGGAAGAGGGACAAAACTATCACATCTTGTCTAGATATTTCTCTGACTCTCTTAGCATTTGCAGTTCACCCACCTTGGTTTCAAAGGAACAGACTTGTTCTGTAAGAGTTCATTGTACTGAGTACGAACCCTTGCCTTATACCTAATAGGCAAGTAGTGATGCAGTCAACACTCTGTACAATGAACTGGAAAGCAGTCTCTCCCTTACTGGCTTTTACCTTTATACTAGTTACTTTTAGTAACTTGGGGGGGGGGGGTTAGTAATTGTTTGACCTAAAAGATAGCCTCTATGTTAATTTTTACACAGTTTGAAAACCTGGCTTTCTTACACTGGAGAAGAGACATCAGTGTGCTTTCCCCTCCATTCAACTCCCTTGCAAAGCTCCCCACTCTCATTCTGGCCACAAGCTCTCAACTGCATCTCTTTTTCTAAAGAGGCAAAGAAAACCTGCTTGGAATCTATCCTAAATTTCCTATGCGGAAAGCATACTGCACTTCAGGTGGAGATTCTTGGGGTTCCAAAGAACCAGCAAAAGTAACATCTGCTGATGACAACCTAAAACTGTTTAATCTTAAGACTAAAATGCTCAGCATCGCTTGTCAGCATGATCTATGTTTGGAGATTATAGAAACTGTCATTCAAAAATATTTTAGGGATCCAAGGTGGGAAATAATATAAGACCCTTAGCATGCTATCTTCCAGCAGTGTTGCCATGTAGGACATTCTGAAAGGATGTACTCTTGTAACGTGACAAAGAATCATTTCAGATCCAGATAGATTCAGTGTTTGGTTCCACTATTACACTGAGAATTGTTGCCTTCCATCTGCTATTGAATTACCATTTGTCTACAAACAGCATTCTGTAATAACGTGGAATTAAAAATATTGTAAAAATCAACAGAAATGTTGGTTATGAACATTTACATAATGTTTTAATATGTTATTAAAGAAAATCTAATATAGCAAGCAAGACTTTGTTTCTCTAGTAATTCTGATATTATTCTTTCTAGGATTCCCCAGAATTTGATTTATTGTTTGAAAATGCTTTTGACCAATGGGTGGCAAGCAAAGCCTCTGAGAAATGTACCTTCTTTCAAATTCTCCATCATACTTGTCAGCGGTATCTTACAGACAAAAAGCCAGAATTTATTAATTGCCAGCCTAAACTTATTGGAGGTAAGTGCTATCTGCTTTAATCTCAGGAAAGGATACAATTTTTGTTTCAGGTCATTTAATCTAATATATATTTAATCCATTTAAAGCTATGCAACTGTTTTTCAAATTCATCTGGGCTTGTTGGTGATATAATACAGTAGCATATACAAAATTAACTATGATCCTAATAAAAAAGTGTTAAAATATTCTACTGGGCTTTGAAGTCAGATTTCTAGACATTCTAATTATTTAACTATAACATCATTTAATAAAGCCAGGAGAAGATTTTCCTACATAATCATTTCCTTCCTGGTTTTAATCTATTGTGCTTCACTGCATAAGTATACTCCCTATGGAATGTATGTCACTTTTTAATTCCGTTCTCTGTTGGTTTTATTGTGTTCCATTTAGCAATGATTGATTTTATTAGTCTTCCTAAAAGAGAAATTTCTAAACTAGAGTGGGAGTTTTTGGACAATAATCACTTCTCTTAATGCACTATTTTATTATGTCAAAACATCTTTGTTTCTGTATCAGCATCATTGATGTCAGCAGATCTTATAAGTGTTAATGTGCATCTGATGTTTTGAGATAACAGAATTCTTAGTGTGGCCCACTCAGTGTTTGTGGTGACTATCATTTCCAGGAAGAAATCCTGTAATTATATTTGTTAGGTCTGCAATAACTGAACTGATTACATTAAGTCTTTAGGGCACAATTTTAGAGGTGGTATAAAATGTGTTGCTTGTATACTGCGGAAACAGATTTGCTGCTCCAAATTCTTTATTCATGGTCACTTGATCTCTAAAGAGAAGAGGTCTTGCTACATAATTTAAAATTGCTTTGAAATCCTGTAATTTAGAACCAAATGAAGTTCAGAAATTGGCAAATGCTCTGGTGCATTTCTTCTCCCTGCAGGCTTGAGTGAAGAAAAGTTTATGCTGATATTTCAGCAACAAAAACCAAAATCCCTGGCTGAATAATGTTTTATGGTAGCAAATGCTTTTTGAAATGATGAAATCTCCCATTTTCATCCCCAAAACCCATTAATTGGAGTGCCAAAGGGATAATTCATTGATTCTGTACTTAGTCCCTATTGTTGATATGCATTACGTGTGTTTGTTGCACCTTTCTTTCTGTAGAAGAACTTCTTAATGTTGAAGGGGAAAGGGGAGACTAGTGATGGCACAGAGGTATAGTCTTTTGTGGGTTCCCTTAATTTCTACTGGCTCTGACACACTGCACTAGATCTATAGTCTATAAATGAAAAACCTTATACAAGAATTCATGCTGGAGCTTCAAAATGTGGTATAGCAAGTAAGATGTTATTCTGGCTGTAGGAGACCTGGGTTCAAGTCCATCTTAGTCACGGAAGCTCATTGGGTCACTCATTCTCTCTCAGTCCAAACTACCACACAGGGTTGTGTTTTGCGGAAAAATAAGAAGATGGAGCATTGTATAAGCTGCCTTGAGCTTCTGAATGAAAGGCAGGATAGCTGTTAGCATTGTTATTTTGGAATTGAAATAGTTTGTAATGTTTTATTTTATTGTATTATTGGAATACAGAATTCCAGTTGAAAGGTATGTCTAATTTGTGAGGGCAGAGTGGCTTTACATTGAGAAGAGGGATGTGATGAATAGATTTTGCTCTTTAGCAGGTAACTGAGGGGTGTATGTTAGAAAGATTATTGTACATTTGCCGGTTGAGAAAATACATTTGATTAAATGAATAGGGCTGAACTGTAGAATATCAAATATGTATGTGAAAGCTGGTAGTGAAATGTTATAAGAACCCTGCATGAATAAAGTACAGGTAGTCCTCACTTAACAACCACAATAGGGACCAGAAAATTGGTCAAGCGGGCAATTAAGCAAGTCACCACGTGACCGGACCCAGTTTTATGACCATTTTTACGACGATCGTTAAGCAAATCACGTGGTCATTAAGCAAATCCAGTTTCCCCCAATGGACTTTTTTTGCCAGGATTTGCTTAATGACCATATGATTCACTTAACAGCCATCATAAAAAGGTAGCAAATTGCAATCACATGACCACAGGAGATGGTGTGGCAGTTTGCAAAAAGAAGTTTGTACTTTTAGATGCAAATGATGTCATGCTCTTGTCTGAAAACTCAGCAAATCTTGTATTTATGGCTTACTATTTCATACTCCTTTTTTGCACTTTGCATAACATTGTTTTCCCCAAGAGGGAATAGCATGATGTGCATGCATGTACTGTATAAGTTCTCAAATAGATCATTGCCATAAAAGGTCAGAATCACCACAATACCTAATATGTGACAACAATTTCTCCCATCACAGATATTTAGCTGTCAAATAAAAGTTGAAATGCTAATTCTTCCACCTACATTATTCAGGACTAAAGAGGGAGCTAAAAATATAATAAGAGAAGAGAGCGATTGAGTGATTGATTGATTTTTGAATGTCTTTTATCAGGATCCAAATTTCAAAAAGAAGCTCCTATATAGACAGAGTGACATGTTGACATATTTTTGAAGTACAGATATGTACAGATTTGATATTTTGTATAATTTGTACCATGGTAGATTACAGTCTGATAGAATATCCAGCACTAAGAATCATATAGCTCAGTTTGTTATGCATTACATCGGGGAGAGATATTCATTTATCTCAACGATCAAAAACGAATCACTAAAAATGTCTCATACTGAACCTATCTTCAGTTCCACCTATTGCAGCCTTTCAGAATCTGTGTCTTCCAGATGTATCGGGACTGTATCATGTAAGTTTTCCACTTCACATGGTAAAGCAAATTCTTGGAGTGGTACCTCTTATATAAATGGAGGACGTGTGGTTGGGTTAGGATGTGAGAGATCAGTCCTTTTCAGTTTGAGTGTTATCTGGTCACTTGCTGTCACTTCAACGTAATCTTTTCTCTGGTTGTTATAAATATAAAAAGGGGAGAAATGTACATATATCCCTGAGCTTTTGAAGAAAGGGAAGTGTACATACATGCCTTTAGTTGTGTCTGTGCAGCTTACTATTTTAAAATTCAAAACAAGAGGTCAAACTCTTCTGATGAACCTATCCAGTGGTAGAAATTTGGAAAACAACCGAGGCGCAGCCATTGATTTCCTTGGTGTCTTTGGTGAAGCTATAATATTTCAGCCACATGCAGAAGTTATGACTGATGTTGTAAGTCATTTGACAAGCTGAAGTGCTGAATAAATACCTAATAGATTGACCATTGAATAGATTGAGCACCGCAAGTTGAGAAAATGCAGCCAAGACACCTCTCATGGTACCACAGGCAGATTTTGTAGGGTCCGCTTATAATTCTTTGGCATTCAAAGCAAAGTGTTCATGGTTTGGGGAATAAAGAGTGCAAAATTGACACTGTTTTCTTAATCAGGCTGGAGCAGCACTTTCTTAATGTTTAACAGCAAACCTCAACCTTAAGGAAGAAATTTCTCTGCTTGAAATGCATTAGAGAATATGAATAGTTCTCTGAATTAATCATTAAATAAATGAGCAAAAGTGGTTTTAGCCCATTATGTGCAGATTGTTCTTTAGCTGCCTTGCTAAGAAAACATTTCATCACATTTGCCTCATATTAGGACAATTCCAGACTTTTTTTTCCCCTTCACATTGCCTCATTGTAAGTGGAATGGCTGCAAAATAGACATTATATCTTAGGAGTGTGTGAATTAGCGTAATGTGTTCCTAATATTGAACCTTAATTTTCCCATTGTTGCTTCATCCAGTCTACATTACTGGACAGTTTACTGTAAAACTGATGATAGCACGGATGTCACTTCCCAAGATGGATATTGACTACTTCTAAGAAGAATATGATTGTCTCTCTTTTGCTGTTCCAAACATTTTTCTCTTGGCCTTTCTACTTGTTCAGGTAATTGGTGAGAATTTTACAAGATAGAAAAGTTAGCAAGATGGCCAACGTATATCACACTGGACTCTTAAGTGAAGGACTACCTTTGTGGGGTTTTGCAGCATTTCATTCCATTCTGATGATTCTGTATTTTAGTCAGAACCTTAAAGAAGTATGCAGTAGATAAGTTGTTTGACTACAGCAAGGGAGAAGTTTGCTAAATAAATAAATGGAATATTGAACCATTCTGGCTCAGCTTAGGTCACAGTAGATGTAATAAATTATTTTGCTGTATCTTACTACTGATTCTGAAAAGGTCTATAAAGTTAATAGCCCAGTATTATTTTATATGGGTTCTATGCAGTCTTAAGAATTTTGGCTGATATTAAAACTGGCACAAAATCACTGGTAATTTTCCTCCTTCACAGAGGAGATATATAACCTTTTTTTCTCTAATATTCTGTACACCTCTTCTAAAATCAATACTTCACAGTTGGAAATGCCATTATTTTGTTAAAAAAAAATGAGCAGCCTTTTCTGATGTTTTTGCTCATGGAAGAGTGACAGTTCTCAAATTTGGAGGCCTCACATGTAATATTCCTGAGGTTTTTCAAAACGTATATTTCCATTTAAAATTCCTACATAAAATGCTTAGTAAGGAGTCATAATAAATTCAGTAGGACTTAGTAAATGTTTATAGGATTGAAGTTACAGTTGCTTTCTAAAATATATTTTCCATATCATTCAAAATCAGTTTGTGATTAGCAAAGTCTTAAAATTAATTGCAAATTTTATTGAGGAAGGGGAAATATACAGTATTCCATAGGAAAATGACATAGAGGAACAGTCATTTGTGGTCCTGATCTGGATCAGATATCCTTTTGCTGTTGTTTATTTAAAAAGAAGAAGAAAATCCCAAACATGATTATTGGTCTAAAGACATATCTAAAGTTTCTTCTAGTTTTGCCAAAGTTCCATGTAAATTTGGATTTCTACAGTAGCGATAGCATAATAAGTTACTGATGAGAACTATTGGTGGCACCTACAGGTAAAGACTAGAAATTGCAAGGTTTTTAATATAAATAAAATGAGAAAGAGCAGAAAAAGGACCTATGAGATGATGATTTGGGATTTTGCATAAGGCATCTT